TAAGTTTGGGAAGAAGGGGACTGGTGGCGGCCAGAGGTCAATGCTGACACGAACAGAGGTCATGACGTCTATTTATTCCCCACATGGAACGCTCTTTGCCATGGTTAGCACAGAGGAATTAGAACATGTCTCGCTCGTGTGAGGCTGTGGGCAGCCGGCACGGCCCTTCTTCCTATGGGTCACCTACAACACACACAGTACTGCGCCTACCTCGCAGATGGCCTCAGACCAACAGAGAGCCTCCACGCTCCAACTGTGGGGACGGCACGGTGGCGCCATGAGCCCGCCTCTCTCCCTCCACGACTCATGGTGGCCACGTCCTGGGTAGGATGCCTCGTTCTGCTCTGGTCTTTGTGCCTTTCCCTACCTGGAAGCAGCTCTGGTGGCTGTCTCAGGGCTGAGGTGGGTGGCCCTGAGGGCCCTCCAGACCCCCACCCTGGAGCAGGAGGGAAGAGCTTGCCGAGGACCCCAGGGCAATTCAACATCCGTGGGCGGAAAGACCGCAGATGGGACACACAGGCCAAGGTGGGGCCTGAGGTCCGCTTTCCCTCTGCCCAGGGGCTAACGGTGGGGCTGGGCTGGGAGGTCATGATTATGCCACTAGCTATCAGCCGTGAGGTCAGGAAAAAGAAGGTTGCAGGAAATCAAAGTTATGTCTATCAACACGCTCAACTGGAAGAGAAGTCCCAGGAACTGGTCCTATGCACCCAGGACGGCTCCCAGGCCCGAGAGGGTTTGGGTCACAGAAGCATTCTGGATATCTTCAACTAAAGAGTTCCTCATGCAAAAACGGCGGTCCCAGGGGCCCGGTGGCTACTGGTGCCCAGCCCAGGGCTGGCGGTGAGCTCTTCTGAGCAGGGCACGTAGCCAGCAGGACTAGAGGTCGACTCAGACAGCGGCTTCCCACGGAAGGGAAAGTTCCTGAAAACAGGCCCAGGTGCGGTGGGGCAAGGGCCATAAAAGCGGCTCCTGAAGCCATAGGCGTCCGCCACGTGGCTCAACATAAAACCTCCCGCTTCTCCAAATGCAGCCCAAGGGGCACCCCTGGAATTCTGGAAAATTCTTTAGTGACTGGGTTTCAGGAGGCTGGAAGGGAGACTGGTGCTGGTCTGTGTTCAGCTTGCTGGCTTTCGTTTCAAGAACAGTCTGGGGGCTGTAGGGGAGTACAAAGAGGAAGGGGGGGCGAAGAAACAAAAGGGAAAAAGAGCCGTCCTAACATGCAGGTTTGATCTCTCTCTCTCTCTCAGGCAGTCCACGGGAGAAAACGGCAGTAACAAGGAGGCTTCCAGTCGGCCGGGGAAGGACACGATCACACGGGGACGGCTAAAGGGAGACACGAGAGTGGTTGGAGCCACGGTGGGGACCCAGGCCCTGGCCCACACACCCAAGGGAGTGGGGCACCACGCAGTCTGGGAGCCACCAGCCACTGGGTGCTACTTCAGTTAGAATTAACGTCTTGCAGTTGCACTCGACAGCCACGAGAGCGTGAGACCCGTGGCCCCAGTGGGGACTCACTTGGCCGGTCACTCCTGCGGGTCGTCATTGCTGGCACTGGGGGTTCGACTCCGGATCTGACTCCTGAGCTGCTCTATCAACTCTGGGTTCTGCTGCTGCACCTGCTGAGCGAACTGCTGGCCCCTGCAGGGAGATGTGCAGGGCTCAGTGGGAGGCCCAGGAGTGGGGGGACTTGCTGGAGGACACTGGGCCCTACTGGGCGTCCAGGAGACACGTCCCTTCCACGTCTCCCCTTCCCCTTCACTGATGGCCCTCCCCGAAGTCAGGCTACTCACGCCTGGATGAGGCTGGTCAGGTCGCTCTGTGAGGTGGTGGTGCCAGGTGTCCCCAATGGGCTGTGGCTGCCTGAAATCATCCCAGACAGGCTGTAAGGAAAGAACTGTGATTAGCAGATGGAACAGCCCCAGACCATCCATTCCCACCGTGGCCCTGGGAGAGATCCCTTACTCAGCCCTTCTCCTGGGGCGGGACCTCCGGTCCCACAGCCACCCCTTGCCCACCCTTCTCAGGCCCTGTGAATTTCAGCAGCTTTCCCAGGAACTTCCTTTTTTTGGCCTAAAGGCAAAGGGTCTCAGCCAGGGATGACTGTGCCTCCAGGGGACATGCACAGTGTCTGGGGACATTTATGGCTGTCACAAGTGGGGAGGGTGAGCTCTTGGCATGGAGTGGGTGGAGGCCAGGGACACTGCTCAGCACCTGATGGCCCAGGATGGCCCAGCACAGAGAAGGATCCAGTGCTGTGGTTGAGAAACTATGCTTTAAGATTTGATCACGAAAATAGTCTGGCCAATCCTCAATAAGTTAAATGTAGAGTTACTATATGACCCAGCAATTCCACTCCTAGGTATCTACCTAAGAGGACTGGAAACAGGGACTCAAATAAAAACTTGTGTCCCAATGGTCAAGGCAGCCATATTCACAACAGCCAAAAGGTAGACACAGCCCCAGTGTCCATCCACAGGAGAGTGGACACATACAGCGTGGTCCCTCCACACACTAGGACATCACTCAGCCATGAAAAGGAACGAGGCTCTGACACACGCTGCTGTGTGGACACCAGACACAAAAGGCCACATAGTGTGTGACTCCCTTTCTTTCTTTTTTTTTTTTTAAAAAGATGACCGGTAAGGGGATCTTAACCCTTGACTTGGTGTTGTCAGCACCACGCTCAGCCAGTGAGCGAACCGGCCATCCCTATGTGGGATCCGAACCCGGGGCCTTGGTGTTATTAGCACCGCACTCTCCCGAGTGAGCCACGGGC